TTTTTCTGTTAAGTAGAATTTTTATTCTATGAGATTTTTTATGATATATTTTAGTCTAGAATATTATTTTTGTGAGGATAGAATGCCTTTTCTTTTGACTTAAATGGTCTGATACAATTTAGTAATATAACTTTTTGTAACTTAGATGAAATATTTACAATGTGGTGGTGGAGAATGACTTTATTTAGCCACAATTTATGGTGTTCAATGCACTCTACACACTTTTTTTGCTCCTATTTTCTTTACCTCTGATATACTATTTACTATTTCTCTTGTTTTTTTTACTATCCGGAACGCAGGAACTCCCGCGCGTCCTGAGCGGGGACAGGCGGGGGAACTCTTGGGAAAGCGCTCACGAGCTGGGCCGGGCTGGCACGGGGCGAGAACGTGGGAACGCGCGAGCTGGGCTGGGCCGTGGGATGGAATCGCGCGCTGGCGCGCGAGAAGATTCCGTGGTCGGCGTGGCACTGGCTGCCACCCGGTCGGACTGTAGTCGTCCCCCATCCTCCTCCATAACCAAATTGAGATCGAAAACCTGGGCTGCGGCGGACTCGACTGTAGCAGCAGCCACCGAGAACAAGATGGCGGCGGCGTTGCCGCAGCTGGACGACGAGATCGTCCGCGGCATGGCCATCGGCGCTGTCTTCACCGACTATGTGAGTTCCGATGCTAGAAGCCCCAACCCACCTATTCCTTGGAAGTTTTTCGCCTCGCACTAATTCGTCGTCCAAATCGGTTGCAGGCCGGGAAGATAAACTGCCTCGATTTCCACCGCAAGGAAGATCTCCTGGTCACCTCCAGTGACGACGACTCCATCCGCCTGTACAACATCACCAGCGCGACGTGGGTACCCTAGCCTTTGCTTCATTTCTCCTCACTTTTTTTATGCAGCTGTAATGTGTGGAATCTAATGTGTGCGAAGGAAAGTGTTGGCTCTACTGATTGATTTCAATGGACAGTTCGTGTTGCGATGTGATTTTTGGGTACCCTACTGCAAGAGATTATAGAATCATCATTATTATTATTGGTTAGAATCAATGTTACTGAAGTAGGTGCTATTGAAGCTAATTTCCTAATGGGTAGATGCAGCATGTTTGGCAATGACCAGTTAACATTTGATAAATATACATGGGTTATGCCTTAGTGTTGCTCATCTGTCATGTTGACCATATTGCTGGAGATGTGATTTGCTTGTGCTGTCAGGCAACATTTGTTCATTACGGATGTTTGATGAAATCTTTGGATCATCCAGCAGTTTAGTTTTGATGGCCCTGTTTTCCCTCGTCCTGTCATTGTTCTCTATGGCCGGTAGAAGTTTGCGTTGTCATATGTACTCCATCAAAGTATATTTAGTAAGCCACCAGTAATCAGTGCTAGAACCTGCTGACTATTGTTTCAGGTTGTTAAAGACTACATATCACAGGAAACATGGTGCTGACCGTGTCTGTTTTAGTCATCATCCAAGTTCTATCTTATGCTCTTCACGATACAACCTAGAGTCTGCAGAGTCACTTTGTTATCTGTCATTGTATGACAACCGTTGCTTAAGATACTTCAAAGGGCACAAAGACAGGTTTGTTTTATTTTTCTTCTGATGCTGCTGCATTTCTTGTTTGTGGCAACACATTTTGAGGGGCAGATGCTGATAGGTGTTCCCTTTCATCTCAGGGTCGTTTCATTATGTATGTCACCTGTCAATGATAGCTTTATGTCAGGATCACTTGATCACAATGTCAGAATATGGGATCTTCGCGTAAATGCTTGTCAGGTTGGCTACCAATCTTGGGCGGAACTTAGTTGATGAGCTCACTATAGCAACCAACTATGCTTAGTTTACATTTATGAGATGAAAGATGCCCTTTATCCTCTAAGCTCTTTCATGCTTTCTCGTTTATCATTCAGGGCATACTAAGGCTACGTGGTAGACCTTCTGTTGCATATGATCAGCAGGGACTTGTTTTTGCTGTAGCAATGGAAGGGGGTGCTATTAAGTTATTTGATTCCCGGTCGTATGACAAGGTATGTAGTGAACATAATACAGAACGACCATGTATTTGTGGAAGGGGTGTGAAATATTTATCTTGTGAATCAATCCAATTTCAGGGTCCGTTTGACACTTTCTTGGTTGGTGGAGATACAGCTGAAGTTTCTGACATCAAATTTAGCAACGATGGCAAGTCTATGCTTTTGACAACAACTAACAGCCATATATATGTTCTGGATGCATATGGAGGGGATAAGTTGAGTTATATTATCTTCCCCTTTTCTGTGCTTCAGATACCAATCCTTTTGGTGCACATTTCTGATCTTACATCCTTTTGCTGATATCCCAATGTAATTTGCAGAGGTGTGGCTTTAGTTTAGAGCCATCTCCCAATGTAACAAATGAAGCTGCTTTCACTCCAGATGGTCAATATGTAATTTCAGGTAATTGCATATTCTGGTTCATATGGAAAATTGTCCTCTAGTTTCCCTGCACTTAAGGCCTAATAAGGTGCTTTTTTTTTAAGTATCTCACCTTCTGCTTTTTCTTTGCATCGCTTTTGTGGATAGATCTGACAAGTAACAAGAATTCACTATGTTATTGGCCTTCAGCTTCACTTTTGCCATTAACCAACCATGTATGTTTAGGAACCTATACTGCCTCAAGTGTTAACAACAACAACAAAGCCTTTAAGTCCTAAACAAGTTGGGGTAGGCTATAGTTGAAACCCAGCATAAACCATCAAGGTTCAGGCACGTGAATAGCTGTTTTCCAAGCACTCCTATCTAAGGCTAAGTCTTTGGGTATATTCCATCCTTTCAAGTCTCCTTTTATTGCCTCTACCCAAGTCAACTTCGGTCTTACTCTGCCTCTCTTCACGTTTCTATCCTGGCTTAGGATTCCACTACGCACCGGTGCCTCTGGAGGTCTCCGTTGGACATGTCCAAACCATCTCAACCGGTGTTGGACAAGCTTTTCTTCAATTGGTGCTACCCCTAATCTATCACGTATATCATCGTTCCGAACTCGATCCTTTCTTGTATGACTGCAAATCCAACGCAACATACGCATTTCCGCGACACTTATCTGTTGAACATGCCGTCTTTTCGTAGGCCAACATTATGCACCATACAACATAGCAGGTCTAATCGCCGTCCTATAAAACTTGTATTTTAGCTTCTGTGATACCCTTTTGTCACATAGAACATCAGATGCTTGGCGCCACTTCATCCACCCTGCTTTGATTCTATGGCTAACATCTTCATCAATATCCCCGTCTCTCTGTAGCATTGATCCTAAATATCGAAAGGTATCCTTCCTAGGCACTACTTGACCTTCCAAACTAATATCTTCCTCCTCCCGAGTAGTAGTGCCGAAGTCACATCTCATATACTCAGTTTTAGTTCTACTGAGTTTAAAACCTTTGGACTCTAAAGTCTCCCGCCATAACTCCAATAGTGCCTCAAGTGTTAACGTCAAGTCTCCCGCCATAACTCCAGTAGTGCCTCAAGTGTTAACGTCCAATAAAAAAATGCAGTGATGATCATTGTATCATATGATAGTATGTTGCACTTACATCGTTCTAGCACATCTTAGGCTTTACGCATATGCTCCTATGAATAAACCTTGGAAATTTGAATGTAGACGATGATTTTTCCCAAGAGAGCTACCTGATATGTTTGGTTTTGCAGGATCAGGTGATGGAACCCTGCATGCTTGGAACATCAATACAGTACAAGAGGTGCTTTTCTTTAATCAGGCTTTTAACATGTGTAATGTGTTGTTAGGTTGCTATGAGTCTTAGTGTCAGATTTCTTTTGCAGATTGCTTGTTGGAACAGTCACATTGGTCCTATTACAGCATTGAAGTGGGCCCCTCGTCGAGCAATGTTTGCAACTGCATCAACTGCCCTAACTTTCTGGATAACCAACCAATCGAATTAGAATTAGGTGCCTGGAAAAAGAAGGGATGAAATTTCATATATGTTAACTTACCAAATGTTTATATCCTGTTCTTTTGTCCAAAAGATAGATGTCATGTATGAAATCACTTACTTCATTACCATCTGTGGAAACAATGACATAGTTCCAGGCAGATACTTGTTGTAGCGCTCCCTTTCTTATTTATATATATATATATATATATATATGTACTACTAATACACTTGCCTGTTAAATTGCTGTAATGACATAGTTCCAGGAAGATACTTGTAGGGCTCCCTTTCTTATTTATATGTACTACTAATACACTTGCCTGTTAAATTGTTGTGTTCTTAACGCGCATAAAGTTGTCTCGGTGATTTACTCCAAACTCTACTTGGACTTCTGCTTCCAAAAACAGGCGCTTGTAACTTATTCTTTTTTGCCCTTGCTGGAACCCCATATTCTTTTTTGCCCTTGCTGGAACCCCACTAATATACTAATATATGGGCATGTTGGAGAATCATTTTGTTGCGTAAACAGTGCTTGTTGCTCAAGCTCCTTAAATTTAGGTTTTGGAATATTCTTCTATCATGTCGTGGCACTTTCCTTGCTGGCATTTTCCACAAAAGTCATAGAAGATGCTGGCATTTTCCTTGCTTTCTCGAGTATACTAAGCATCGTCCGGCCGTAAAATCCTTTGTTTCTATGATCGACGTAAAGTCCACTTTAGTTTCACCATTTCACATTATCCTACTAATTTCCTGGACAATAGCAGAGATTTACCCTGAGCACGCTAGAAATTTACTTGAAAGCGACTAGGAGCCTAGGAGGGCGGTGGCCAAAAGAAGCAAAGAAGTCGATAAGATGCAAATAAAAACAACCAATTTACTGTCTGCAACATGCGGTCCACCAAACCGAAACAGCACCTTGCCTGAGTTGCCTGTCAATATTCAGAGCAGCAAGGTGCATCATACTACATTCGATCTTTCTTTTTTTTGGAACTAGACGTTCCACATCATACTAGAGCAGCAAGGTGAGGAAGTCCGGTATCTGTGAAGCATGCAATGGACCTGAGCTCCTTATCGAAGAGCGCCCTACTTCTGCCTCTTGTAGATCTTGTGCAAGAAGGACTTCAGCACGTTCTGAACCGCGATGTTTGGCTGGGCTTCAATGTCTGCAATCAGCTTCTTGTAGCTCTCATTCTCGTACTCCTGAAATACCGCCTGGAACAAAATGATAAACGAAATGTCAGACTTTAGTAAGGTTTGAGAATGTGCTTCAGTTTGTCATCCTATTTTCAGACAAAGTAAGAAAAAGTGTGGCTGATTGCTACTTCGTCCAGTGAAACTTAAGTGTCACATTGCAAAGTGCTTCAGTATGTCATCCTATTTTCAGACAAAGAAGTAAGAAAAAGTGTGGCTGATTGCTACTTCGTCCAGTGAAACTCAAGTGTCACATTGCACACGTGTATAGTCTCCAAAGAATCAATATCATTTCAGTAACATATGGGGCATATGAACATATGGGGTGTTCAGTTTGGTTTGATAATAAGGTGGGCCTATCACCTTGCCATTCCTCAACTTTTTGTTTGGTTTGTTGAATGGGATGAGTTGACGCATCACCACCTCATTTCTCACAAACTAATAATTAGTATAAGCATGAGGGATGGACTCATGTTGAACCACCTCATCTAAGATGGGATGGTTCCTCAAACCAGAGGCCCCCATACTATATACAAAATGGGCGTCACATTGATCTTTAATCAAGAAGGATGGGCTGGTGCAAGCGGTAGAGTCTTACCACCTGTGGACCGAAGGTCCCGGTTCGAGTCATGGTCTCCTGCAAGATTGCACAGGTGAGGTAAGGCTTGCCACGACACCTTCCCTGCACTCTGCATGACAGCAGGAGCTCTCTGCACTGGGTACGCCCTTTTTTATTGATCTTTAATCAGTATTAACTGCATTATGTTTATGGTGGGCTTACATGAGCAAGTGATTACAATCTACAGATAAATAGAAAGCTTCATCAAAGGTAGAGACAGACCTCAAGGTTAAGTTCTTTGTAGAGGTTCTTCACTTTCGCCACACAAGCTGGATCTTTCTTGCCATAATTTTCCTGCAGAACCATCAATTGTATAAACCTTTAGACAACAAACTTCTAATCATTTGAAAGAGGTCTGGACATGACTTACAAATAGAATGCGCTTTTGGCTCTCATCAGCACGCTCAAGGGCTTGCACAACTAGCCATGAGCACTTGTAATCTTCAATGTCAGTTCCGATCTATATTAAAATTAAAATCGATTAAATCACAATAGCTAAGAGAAAAAAGGGATGCTAGTTCAAGTTACTGAAATAGATAAATGCACCAACCTTGCCAATAAATTCAGGATCACCATAACAATCCAGATAGTCATCCTGATAGAGAACAATCATATCAATACTAAGTAGACTAATGCTTGTGACAGAAAACAGTTCACATAGATGCACACAGCAAAATAGGTGTTACCTGGACTTGAAAGTATGTTCCCATTTCAACAAGGATGTTCTCTACATCACCATACTTGTCCAAATTCTCGCCAGAGAGAAGCAGGGCACATGCAACCTTTGATAAAGCAGCATATCAGTAACACATTCATGTGGTATTGATAATCTAGATGGGGTCGCATGAAAATAGTATATGCAAAAGTAAAAAAAAAAAAATTAATTACCGGCAGATAAAATGAATAGTAGGCTGTCTTGTATTGAACAATACGCACCATGACTGCAGAAACGAGTTGCAGGAAATCATCAGTAAATAAAAGGCACATCCTGAATCAGAATTACCATAGATATGCTATTATGTAAAGAACATTTCTCTATAGCTAAACATGACAATGTGAGAGGAACACTTTTAGTTCACATGGTAAAACATAGGAGTACAAAGAATGTTTTGCCAGTCATTATTACATATTAACTTACACTGTTATGTTGTACTTTTGTCAGATCTTTTTCCCTCATGGGTTGTGATAAGGTCCAGCAGCTGACCTGAAGCTGTCTTGAACTCAACCTAGGAAAACAAAACAACATAATCAGGACCTGTAATAATCTGAAACCTTGAGCTGAACATTGATGTGCATCAGAACATATAGTTACCTCATTGAACAAGTCAAGGAGATCAGCATAGTAAGGCTTGCACTTAAAGTGGCAGCGAAGGATCCGTGAGATATGGCTTGCGAAGGATAATCCCGTCATTCACAGCAATGAAGCCAACCTATCGCAAACAAAATATGCCCTTAGCTATTTACTTAACAAAGAGAATTAGAAATTTCTCTGCACTGAAGTTACTACAAAGGAAAAAATAGACAAATGCTTCGGGTATTCAGTTATGGCTAACCTGAGGCACCCTGAACCAGCAAGGCTGGCCACGACGAGTGTGGGAGTCATCCATGATATCATCAAGCACAAGAAAGAAAGCTTGAAGCTGAAATACAACAGCAAACTTAGATGAGCTACTCAATTGCTTGACTGACATTCTTCCTGACAACATTGGGGGACAAAAACAAAACATTACCCATTCAATGCACCAGCCAAGGGTGCAAGCCAGAACAGTTCCTCCTCGTCCAGAGTATCAGCACCTTCAACAGCTTGTAGCTGTCAACCACAGAGAGCCCACGGTTACACTTGCCTGTCATTGGACAACAGTTACGGATCAGAAGTGTTACTTGTTTTTCGTATAATGTAAAAAGTAAGTAATTCAGAATCATCTCCTCACCTCCGAGTACATTGTAGTCAACCATCTGTTTGAAGAGGAAGATAGAGAAATGTTATATTAGCATCGCACATCAAAAGCACTAGCTAACAGAACAAACAGTATAAGCGGCCCGCTAAACACCCAAGATCCATATATGCCATTAATAATTACTACGGTGGTTTGGATTTAACTGCAGAGCCTAATAATCACAAAGCTCTGCTCTGTTTTGGCAGCAATTCAATGTCCAAAAGCAGAGCCTCACAACCCAACCCAACCCAACTGAACGGGAAGTTCCAGTACGTGTTGACCCGTTCCATCCAGCCCACGTAAAAACATACTCCTACTAAACAGCAGTAACAAGCTGTTCCAGAGGACTAATCCTCGCTCATTTATTTACCTGTGATCCGGTGCTTTTCTTCGTTTATTCACCCATAATATGTCCATGTGCACGCGGTAAACAAAAATTAATTTCGCTTCAAAAGAACCTGGTGCTGCACGAACTACAGAGAGCCCGCCGATCCGGGGTGGAACCTAAACGGAACATGAGGAGAACTCGCTGGGCCACGGCGACGGCGCACGGAGCCCCACACGCCACAAGGATCAAACCAGAAACAGCGACATAAAAGGAAGGACAACAGCGAGAGCGAGCGAGAGGAGGAGGGAGAGGAGAGGGTCGTTACGCGGTCGATCCACTGGTGCGACTCCTCAGTGAACTCGAAGGCGGGGTCGGTGAGCAGCTCCTCCTTGAGCGCCTTGTAGATCTGCGCGAAGGCCGCCCTGGTGTCCCTGCCGGCAGCGGCGCGCCATTCCCGTCCGCCGCCATTGCTCTCCTCTCGCCTCCTGGCGACGCAGACGGGTCCGAGGCCGAGAGCGATCGAGGGAGCCAAGTGACTGGCGCCGTACTCGCGCTGCGCAGTGCCGGGGAAGGAGGGAGTCAACAGGGTGACCAAGGCAACGTGGGACGCGGCCTTTTCAGGGACCGGATTGGCGACGGCAACGGGCAAAGCTGCAGCGGGCGGGTCGGCAGCGGCACGCACCGGCACGGCACGAGCACGGCAGCGACGCGTCTGCCCGGT